ATAGAACAACACCCCAAATATCGACTTAACAGTAATATTAATTTGACCACAGCATCACTGCTGAACATTTTGGTTAATCTACTAGTCCAGAATGATTATCTGAAAGCCTCTTATAAGTTTAAGAGTGCTAATGCTTTGAAATGATTGTTAGACAGATAACTGCCTCCAGGACGTTAAAATAGTTGGTGGTGGTAGTGTAATGATATGGAAAACGGTATTAAATTAATTCAATGGACTTTGATAGAAAAAGGTCAAATGTTCTACCTACACATTTTTTTTTCACAATGCATAGCCACATATAGCTCACACCTATTCTTGCAAAGAAACAACAACCTGTTTCAGTCACAGTCATCTAAATCGCTAGATTTAATCCAAATTAAGCAGCATTGGAAAAAAGAATTGACATGATTTGCCAAAGACAATGAAAATAATAAAAGTTTATATTTGGAAAACTATACAGTTTTTATTACACAAATTTGCTTCATATATGCCGTTTGTGGCTATCACTTGTGTCTGCGGGGGCATACCAGATATTGATCTTTAATTTGTCTTAAACTGACTATAATTTTAAAATTGTTGAGTAATTATGACATTAAGAAAGTATTCCTGTTGCTTACCACATTTCTGTTTTATCAATGCATCATTTTACTAAATAATCTTTATGTTCAATGTGTCACTAAAATTCTACTATGCGTTTCTTTTTTTGAAGAGTATATTTAAGATTTTTTAATCAGAAGACATGGGGGTAGTAAAAAAAAAATAGATATTAAAAAAAATAACAGATAGTGAATGAATCATTAAAGTGACAATACGGCGCATCTCTCCGAAAACAGACTTGTTAAAATTTTCCTACAGGATTTGTATTTTTTTTCATACTCATAAATGTATACACTTTCACAAAATTACAAATTTCATAAGTAAATAATTCTGGTTATTTCATAAAATTAATAATTATTTATGATCCATAAATATATACAGCAAAACGTGTTCGAGGTTCCACATTCCGTGCTATACACGCATGCGTAAAGTTTTCATAAACAAAACAGCATGGTAAGAGAGGGAAGCCCGGTAGGCCTGCTTCATTGACAAAGTCGACCAACACGAAAAACAAAACCAAAAATAGGGCTTGAAATTAAAAAGCAACTTTCCTGACAAAAATTTAGTTGGGGGATTAATATAATCATTGAATCTCTTCACGTGGGGCTCGTTTTACCCTACATATGTTGATACATGCTATCATTTCTCGTATCTCCATGGCTTTCAAAGAAAAAAATAAGTGTAAACTCAACGTAAAAATGCACTTATGACATATAAAAATTATTGCCATTTGAAGTGCAAATTGTATTGGAACTGCAAAAAGATATTTTATTTGACATTTTGCCGCGACGACGTATAATCTGGTGAATTTTCCTTTACAGCACCCCAATACACAAAACGTCAACATTTGTACTTAATCATGTTAAATTCGTCTGAATGTAGACTACTATGTTAACTATTCTTAATTTACCGGAGAGTTAAGATATTTTGATTCTCAGAATTGCTTTTACTTAATATTCCATTATAGTTGTAAACCCCACATTGTATGCACGTGCCATTTTAGAATTCACGTAATGAACAGATCTAAGTTGTAATTTTCCGGCAGATTCTAATAACGTTAATTTTGTATGAGGAGGGAATATTCATTTTTCTCAAATGCTTACTTCAACTTTTTACCTAATTCCTGAATGATGTATTGGGTAAATTTGAATGAAAAAGCACACGATTTGCAGGCGTATTACCGCTTTAAATTATGTTGTATCAAATGGTGATGTTTATTTTTTTCATTCATTAGTGCATACATATTCTCATTTCTTATTTGCATGAAAATAATAATTTTAAAAACTATACCAAGCATATATTTTACGGTTGGAGTGACAATAGTTTTAAGTAAAATCTACATATCTCTTACAATACGAGTTTGTGTGTTTAATTGATTAATAATGGAATAATAATAATGGAAGAAATACATTTTAACTTGTCATTTTCGAAGCCATAAATTAATGACTAAGCTTTAATTTCATACAGGTTTTCACTGGAGTTATAATGAATGAATGAATGACATGCATTGGCATTGCATTTATTTTGGGCATCGTCTGGAAAACAGTCTCATTGAAAATTATGCAAAGTGTCCTTATATATTGAATAATTCAAGCTTTTATTCGCCTTAAAGAGTATGGGGGATTTTTTAAAAAAAATAATTTCTGGTAATATTTTTGATTGAAAACCACAAAAATGACATTGAAATGCCAACATTTTTATTATTAGATAAGTTCTTTTGTTTTTCTGGTATTTATTATTTACTCTAAATATCTAGCATCTATTTTATAAAAAAAAATGTATACAAAAAATTTACCATTTTTAGCAGGTCATTGGGAAAACTATATGCTACGTTTCACTCTCTGCTTCTTTGATTTTCATATGAAGTCTCCAATAAAATTTTCTTAACACTTAATACCTATATACATATCTGAATTCCATACCATGTTCTTTCTTCTTCTATAATAACTATTTTTGTGGTTTGAAATCATCTTTAAATTTTAAATGACATAATCTCATCAAAGAATGAATGTCTGACTGTGCCTTCTGTGTAAATTTTGTCTTTATAAATTAAGACATTTTGTGTAAAAAAAAAAAAAACAGCTGAGAAAATTTCAATGCAGTTGATCTATGATACTCTAATCATCATTAATATGTTGCCGCCATTTTTTGTAAAATTTTTGAAGCAATTCATGGAAATATTCACAAGCCAAAAAATCAATGAAAAATAACAAATAATGGTCCACATTGGAAAAAAATCTTTTCTTCCTAAAGAAACGAAATATTCACTTGAAAATCTTTAAACCTCTATGTTTTTTTTTTATTTAAAGAGTTATGACACGAATGAATTGTGTTTACATACTAGAATTTCAACTTGTTTTTAAAAATATAAGAAATTATCTTTTGACACAATTACTATGCGAAGAAAAAAAAACAACAATCGCATCAGATGCAGCAACCCTGCCATTTTGATAACCTGTAAAAATATCTTCTTTTTTTTTTATTTTTTTTATTTTTTGCTATTAATATATTATTGTTAATATATATGTGTTTTATTATGAAAATCTTAACACTTGTAGAAATGCTGTAGACAATAAAATTTAGGTAATCGTACTCAGGTGAGATTTATAACCAGTGAACATTTAGCTATATACACTGTAGTTAATTCTTATAATGAAAGAAACTTTGATTTCATACTAGATAAGATTGATAAAAAAAACAAAACAGAAAAAAAAAACAAAGAAACAAAAGAAAAAGAAAAATCTAATTATGCATGTATTTGTCATTTGATGTTTATTTTGAAAAACGCCCAACATTAGGCCATTCTTGATCTTTCAAGAAATTTATTCAGGAAACTCCCAAAGGAAACTGAATCAATAGAATTCCATTAAAAGCAATGAAAAAAAAAACTATAAATGTATGATGTTTTATTAAGAAAAGTAGAAGTAATTCAAATTAAAAGTCTTAATTATTCTGGATAATTTTGATGACAACAATTATCTACATATTGGGTATGGGTATTTCTGTTATCATTATTCCTCAATATATTTCGACTGTAAAAAGTATTAAATGATGTAAGAGCTCGTACGCAAAAAAGAAATATATATATATGAAGAAACGTTAAGTTTGAGCTTGATCAAATTAAAAAAAAATACTACACAGTATATCCAGTAACCACTGTATTATAGGATGAAAATACATACACATTATCTGTCCTACCAATCACTTTTTATTTCCTACACCGAAAATGAGAAAATAAAAAAAATATGGGTTTTATCTACTTTTTTCTTTTTCTTTGATTCAAGGACAATTCTTTAATGTCTTCTGTATGATTAGTAATAAATGTGTACCTGTATATTTTTCTGGATCAAACTCGTTTTTTTCATTCCTAAGTTGAATACTTAAACGTTAAGCATTTGTGTTTCATGACCTGATTTTAACTTTTATGTCCTGTCATATTCAAAAGGATGGATTTTAGAAATGGTATTTATATTTCATCTAAAAAAAATTAGAAAAAAAACTGACAGATGAAATGAGAAAAGAAGGTATGAAAATTAAAAATTTTAAACATATTATTTGAAGATTTTTTTTCGATCCATAAATTGTTGCTCTAAATAAGCAATTTTTGAAGTGGATAAAAAAAAACTTAAGTTCTGCAAATATGGGACCAAGTGCTATGGATGGGTTAGCAACCACTACCAACCTGTCATACTCACCTTGTAGTTCATGTTATGATTGTGATGTAACAGATAAGAGTCGAATTAGTAGTATGAAAGACGTTAGTCAGAAATTGACTTAATGATAGGTTTTATTTGCTGACAAGGTCATTATATTGACTATAAAACTTACACAATGATCAGTTGAAATAAGACTGTTCATATGCTTGTTTCATCAACTTGTTTGTCAGTCACTTACCTCGTTTTAGAAATAATTCATCCGATGAATTGATATTAATTGAGTTTTTAATTTTTGTTTTAGGATTATGGAAACCTTTGAATTTCGATTGCTATTATTCAATTCTTTTGAACTTTTCATATCATGATAAATTGAATCTTCGCTATAACCTATAAACAAATGATAATTAACAACCATCAAATTTTCAAACTCGCATAATATAAACATCTAAATTTATCGACATAATTATGATTGCCATTTTGCATATTTCATATGGATAATATTATATATACATAAAGCAAAGGCTTCAGTGTAACTTTTACATGTTTGTCTTCAGAAATCAAACTTCCTGATGTCTATTTTTAGCCAAACTGTGACGGGGAACATACACTAGGGACGTTCTCCCATCGGCCCTGGAGTGGCGCGTGATTGTGACGTCAGTACCACTTAACATCAGGAAAAAAATTACAGGTGTCATTTTCGTATTTACATTCCACGAATGATAATAAATATGATTGCGTGACGTCAGAATAAACATCATATTAATTGATGTGTGAAATAGAAACAAAAATTGTTTTAAAACACAAAGGAAATCACGTGTAGTTCTTAGATGGGTTAAAACATCGTGGAATATAACAGTTTTCAACTTTATTTATATTGAAATTTAATCTGTGATATATTACTACTACAAGGGAAAAACTTTATTTAAAATGAATTTCACAGAGGAAATACGGTTGTGTTTTTTAAGTTCAGTTGTTTTTACCGTAATTTTCTTGTCAGGTAAGTAAATAAATGAACATGTATATGCATTTGTTCGATGCCCTAGGGTTATGACTTTACGACTCCGAAGTTGTTATGTACGCATGTTAATTTTCTATTTTCACACGTTCAAGAATAGATACGTAAGTTAGTTTAATGCTCTTTTCTCAAAAAGCGCCGAAATGTTTACAAAAAAATGAGATACAATCAGATTTTCTTTTCACGAGAATTAAAATCGGAAAAATCATATAGCCTGTAATTAACTTATTGTTAACAAAGAACATAAAATATATTACCATTTTGAAAAGGTAAATGCATGTATCTCCATATGCAAAAAAAAAAAAAATTATTTCTTGACTTAGAAATTAATTACGGTTATTAAATGGTAAATAACATTTTTGGTAATGGTCCAGCTGATACTAAACGTAAAAATGCCTTCAGTTACACATTAATTTTTGATTTGTTAAGTGCATGACGATAATATTGTCCTGATCACCTTTCTTGTTCATGTTGCATGGTCTTATTTGCTGTTGTAATGTCTTTTATTACATTTTATGTTTAGAAAAAGAGTGAAAATGTATAAGTACCACTTAAGAAGAACATTACATTTAATGCAGTAACTATAGTAACAAATTATCATTTTCTTTTCAAATCAGTAACACGATTTAAAGTGAAATATGCATATGGTGTTGTTCCTCTTTCTCTTTACCTTCTCATGAAGTCCTTGATAAGTATAAATGCTTTATTGACAATGTTCATTTTTCTCATATTGACTTCAGCTTGGTTGATTTTATTTTCAATAATTATTAAATAATAACGACTTTCATATCAAGTTGAATAATATTTTAGTCATTGTAAATCTATGCCTCTTGGTGCTAGATACAAAAAAACCTTTAAATTGAATATCATTAAAGAAAAAAAATAATGTATTTGATTTTTTAACCCGAATGTGGTTTTTCCTGCTGTAAAATCATGTCGTCAGTTAGCCGTGCCCAGTTCCAGATTGATTGGTCAACAAAAAACCATTTGTTTCACAGTGATGGATTTCCCCCATTTTACTTTGCGGTCAGAAAGCAGGCTTTCCATAACTGTTCCTTGTTAAAATGACAAATCTTTCTTCATATCGAGGATTGTCAAAAACTGTAACATTTTCTTTTGAATTTGTTCACAACGTCAAGAAGAAAAATGATTTAATAGGTGTTAATTTTATTGATTGGTCAATGGCAAATCATTATGAAAGCGATTGACGTCACACAAAAGAGAACATACTTATTTTTAGATCTGTCGTAAGTTGATTTGTTCATGAACAGGTATTTGAATAATATACATAATTCCATATTTTGATCAGCAAAATATACATATAAGCATTTAATTTTCATCAGAAGAAACGCGGAAACTTTAAGTAATTATGAGTACAAGATGTACAATACTTCCTCAAAAGAAGAAAGGATCAATTTCGTGGGATGAATATATAAACATTAATTCAAATATATATTTCGAACACGCCTCGAAATATGAAGACCTGTTCAGTTGAAGGAAACCATGCATTAAAATCATCAGATGGAATCCATAATTGAATACCAAGTCGTTGTTTATAAGATTCAGTATCGCAAATATTGCTTTAAAAAAAGAAAAAAGCTGAGAAAGTGTCGAAATTGTATTCCAAAGTCATTAGTTAAACCTGAACCATTTTGACATAACCAAGATGTACATGTATATGGATAAACACGAAAACTTATGATCAAAATTATGATCAATCATGGGACCTTTTGAGTCAACAAAAAGCACAAACATTGAGTGCCCCTCCTTCCTAAACCTTTTGCCTTAATTATTTATATCTTTATTACCGGAATATAACATCAGTCTTTTTTATATTTCAGATAATGTATCAGGTCAGCAAAGGACCACAGGTATTTCTAATTTATAATCATTTTTATTCGCAGATATTACAAACACATACCTGTCGAACAATTCTTTTTTCATGCGTTTGCAAAAGGGATTAAAATCAAAATTGTACACGTATTATTTTTACTTCACCAATTAATGATAAGGATAGTTTTTAATAAATGCCAAAAAGTAGTCAGATTCATAAGACTCTCAAGATGACGTCATGAATTCTAATTGTTACGTCATTTACAGAGTGTAAGAACTCTGGAGGGGCCTATGCATGGTTAAGCTGTCTCATAGCCAAAGCCAACAAGGATATGTGCAACCCGTCAGGGTGCGCCCGGTATGCAGGAACAGAATTCGAAAAAGACCTTACATGCACGTAAGTGGAGGATCCAGAATTTTTCATGTACATACTTTTCATTTCTTCAAAAAAGTTTATCATGTTGCCTTGAACAAAAATCCAATCAGTAGTTTAATTCTATTAAACATAAAAAAATGCTAACATATACAATTATAACTGTCATTTTTCAAGTAATTATATATGCTGTGGCTTAAAAAATCTTAACCTTAAGAAAATAATTGGCTTTGTTTTAAAAGAACGATTTTTTATGTCAAAACATAATTTAAATTTTATTTTCTAAGTTTAATTAAAAACAAATAACCATTATTTAGATTTAAAAAAATATACACTCATACAATAAGTAAGTTTTGAATTCTAGTTTTCAGAAACAGAGATGTGGGGGATGTCTCCCTCAGTATAAACTAAACGGAACGGAAGTGAGCTGCAAAGCATTGGAGCAAACAGGATATGGTATGTAAGAATTTAAACAGAATAAAAGGTGTAGGAAATTAAACGAGAAATATATTGAAAAATCATAGTTGTGAATACAACCATTGGTCTATTTAATCTGTTTTTGTCCCATTACAGAGTGTGCACCTGGTGTTCAAATGGAAATCTGCAATTTGGACGCATGCGTAGCAACAGTCTGTCGACCATATTTAACAGCTCCCTGCAGGTGATCCTATAAAACATTTCTTATAATCACTAGTTACTAGAAAATATAGTTCCATATGTGACATGTAAATATATCTAAACCTAGAGATCCTTTTTTACTAGACTCTTCGACATCAATTTTGATGATTATTCTCATCCTTTTTTTTAGGAACAACTTTTGTGGCGGTTGTTTTGCAGAATATGACGTTGATGGTCAATGGAGAAGATGTCCAATTGAAGGTAAGACACACAAGGATATTGTAAATTAAATGCTTTTCTGTAAAACGCCACAATTTTCTTAACCTTGAGTATACAAATGTGTATTTTTATCAGAGTATGATACAAATTTAAGGATGAAATTGTACCTTTGAGTCAAATGATCAGTCAGTTGACTTAAAGAACTGGATCGTTAGTTGAATATAAAATCCCTGGCAGTCAGTCTCCTTTTTTGAAAACTCAGCATTTTGGGAGATCTTCATAATTTTTGAACGTCGATATGATCTATAGAATTATTGCCCTTATTCCAGTGTCTGCAATTCAGCCCGACAGTCCTGTAATCCCTGGTCAAACATTAGACGGATTTCTTGATGTACCTTCGGCTTCACGTTTTGCTAGTCCCGCAGTAGTCCCACAAAGCCCAGCCATAGGCGAGGCCAAACCAACAAACCCGATCATGCCGACAACGTGTTCGAACGGAGAATTACCGTGGGATTGTCCCGCCGACGTGTGCACCAACGCATATTGCGCTGCATATCCACAAGCGAAGTGTCGGTAAGAGAGAATGTACTGTAAGACCTAATTAATTATAGTATTTGCACCGTTATACAAAGTGTGTGAAGGAATGAACAGGGTACATGATTACATGTGGGAAAATATGTTAAACTTCACTGTGAAATGTATTGCACAACTTTTGGATTTGAAATATTTTATTATACATATTTTTTTTGTCACCATCAATTTCAAATTAACATATTCAAATATTTTTGAATGTATTATTTCTCCATAAATAGTTTTCTCCTTTACATGTAGCAGACAATTCCTCTTTTTTTTTTTTAAACCAACCACAGGACTTCTAAAAATTATGTTTTAAAATATCACAGCTGAAGTATCTCTTAATAATCTAATAAAGTATGACTTTAAATAATGTCCCAGAGAGAAAATTAGATGAACCAATTGATTTGATATCTTCTCTTAGGATAAATAACTGTGGAGGATGCTCACCAGAGTTTACAACAGGCATTTACCTTATACAGGACTGTAACTCCAGAGGTAACCACGATTATCATGTCAATAAATACTCAAACCGCATTGTAAAAGATATCTAATAGGCCAAGCTTAAAAAAATTCTTTGTTTGCAGTTGCCGACCTGTAACTTTTAGACTGGGTCGGTAGGTAGGCATTTTTTTTTTTGGAAAAAAAATCAGATTTTTGTTAGATAACAAATAAAAGAGGTTTTCATACACTTACTAACAATGAATAAGCTCACCTCTTGTTATAAACCGCTGATTGATAAAAAACGTGTCAACATTTGAAAATGAAACTGTTTCAATATTCTGAAAAATTGAAAAAAAATAAATTACCAAATGTCTAAAAAAAAGTTTGGGTCGGGTGCATTTTCAGTGGGTCGGTAGGCAACTGCAAACAAACTTAATTTATTTTAGGCCTTACTCTTAGGAATAAAGAAATTCATTTGTTTATAATATTGAATGTTAAGTAAACGATAAAATGCATATACATTTTGAAAGTAATCAAACTTAAAAGGCAAGTTTTCAATGCCTTTCAAACAGTTATAATTTTGATGAATCTTGCATATAATTGATAAACAAGTGTTTCAATGCATTGTCCATAATTGTTCACTTTGTCTTTTTTTATTCAGAATGCCCAAAGAACACGCTTGAAATGGTTTGTAAAGATGATCCTTGTAAATATTCCACCTGTAGAAAATACGAAGATAAGAACCCAGTGTGCAGGTAAGATGATAATTATATTTGCCATTAAAAGGAGATACTGTCAATTTATTTATATTTGAATTGTAACTCAAGGGTAAAAATATACTTCCCTCTTGGTACAGTATTGCAGTTTGATCATTTAACTTTTGATTAAAAGACCCTACTTTTAATTCAAAATCAAAAGAAAAGACAGGGATAAGGTAGCATTTTGTAAGATTAATACGCAAGTTTCGAGATTATCTCCCTTGGTGCGCTCTTTCAGGAACTAAACAAAAAGGTTTTTGATACTGTGTATGTTGGATACATTGCATCATCGATATACCGGTTTATCATTACTACATAGGATGCACTCTACAACTTGAGAATAACCTAATTAAAGTAAAGGCATCATTTTTGAAGCAAAATAATCGAAACAAAAAAAAAAAAAATATCAGTGGATGTGAGACTTTTCGGACGAGGGAAGAGATATGGACCTCTGATAAATACGGTGCATATGCATCTGATTACGTCGGGAATCTTAATGACATATTGATTCTTTTCCTTATTATGACTTTAAAAACACTAACTTTTTAGAAAATGTTCGTACAATCAAGAAATTCGGTTACTTTTTATAAAAACTACGACGTTTCTTTCGTTTTCAAGTACCCGAAAATTAATAGTAGATTTGTAAATATGCATAGTTGAGCCTGATAAATCATCAAATGCATCACTGCTGAACATGATTATCTTTCTATAACATTTAGTAAATTTTAAGAACCATAAATATCGTTCTCTTATTTATGCACGTTTGTATACAGAGACAACCTGTCCCACCTACATGCTGAAATGGGTACTTTTTGCGCCTCTATCGTAGGAGAGTTACAATCTCGAAACTGGCGTATTGCTTGATTATATGAATTTTAATAGTTCCTCTCGAGAATATTTCACTGATGTGTAGACGCCACTATTTGCCGTTGGAGAGATGAAATCTTATCTTATGCTCGGCACTAAGGGCCATTACAGTGATGGATCTTTTTCTCTCAGCACCTACTGCGACACGGGACCTTGGTCTCACCCGTATGAACGGTCTCCACGTCCCACAGTGGGATTAAAACCCAAGACAAAAGGATCAACCCCTTTCTTCGCGGTTTTAGAGCTGACGCTTTAACCACTGCACCACGCTGGCGACCATTTTTGTAAGAATATTTTTTTAAACTGACATTTGTTTTTAAATCTACTTAAAGACCGAGTCGTTGTGGAGGATGCAGAGCTATGTGGTATGTTAATGGAGAGGAAGTTGATTGTTATGAACAATATGGCGTCGATGTCCGTAAGTTGATATTTATTTTTTACCAACATAGTTCTTAAACAATATATTATTATACAAAAAAACAACAAAAAAAAAACACAGAACTGTCTGCTTTGTAAGTCCTAAAAAATCGAAAATAAGAAAACATATATTTTTTTTTTTTTGAAATACGAGGGTTGATACAATGTTCGTAGAATTTCTTTATATTTTATTTATTTTGAACTGAAATTGGTTGAAAATTACAAATGAGTATATCGACACTTGTTGAATATTTTAAATAATAAAACATTTTAAATACTAATGTATTATATAAGAGTTCTAATCTCATTTTATCTCATGATTCTTTCTAGCTTGTCCAAATGGAGAAATCCGACAACAGTGTCCCAAGAGCACATGTAGATTTAAACATTGTCCCGTAGATAGAAGTATCACATGTGTGTAAGTATCATATTCTGTATATGTCTTTATTTTTATCTATTATGGAAAATAAGAGACAAACATACATAGCTTTCATTATTATGTAAGCTTTGAGTGACTTTGAATGATACGATCTAAAAAAAAAGAGTTTTTAATTCTTATTATATGCATGAGAGCTGCATATTTCACTAATATATTCCCAATAAGTATCAAAATAAAACATTAGCTATGCGTCTAACTTTCTTGATCAGAATCAACAATTGCGGAGGATGTAATAGGGAATATCAAAAACGCATGCCGAATGGAAAAACAATCATAGTTGACGAATCAAGATGCCAGGGCTGGTGGAACTTTCAAAGTGGACAGAAAAAGAAGAAACCATTTGTGTCCAAAAAACGACCACTTCCAAGACCAATCAACGAGCTCTCTCCTAATGAACTGGACCCGATGGCAAGAAGAAACAATGAGCGAACGGTAAATGCAATCAACAAATTTGAAGCAGCGCCAAAAGATAGTTTGAATATGGAAGTAGAGCCAACAGTAGGATCGATAGCGAAAGCATCACCAAGCGGAAATGGTTTTCAACAAGGACTTCCTCCGCTAGTTCCAACAAATCTCATGGAGGAACAGGAATTAGGAATGCAGCAATTTATGCCAAAATCAAAATTTCCGGAAATTCCTTCAGATCCAAATGCTGTTCAGGTTTTAGAAAATCCTTTAATCGATTCACCAATTCCCCTCAGCAATGTCGATACGCCATCAAGTAACATTGCTCCAGATTATCCAAACGAAATTGGTGTCAAATTTTTGGAAAATTCTGCACCTTTTACAGCGGTATCTGAAAATATACGAAATACACAGACTCTCGAAAATCCACTAATCGACAACATAAATTCAAAAGTGTCTCCACAACAACCAGATTTAGTAGGTGTTCAAGAAATACAAAATCCACTGTTAGTGGATCAGGGACCTGGATCAAGTTTAAATGTTGTTCCACTCGAAAACATCGCACCTTCTGTCCCCGCTAGTGACTTATCTGTTCAAACACTTGAAAACTCACACAATGGAGGCCGGGCATCAATTCTGTTAAATACAAATGTTCCAGTCTCAGTCCCACAGGAAATTAAACAACCAGTACAAAACAGCTTTAATGTTGAATTCCTTGACACGACAACAAAAGCTTTTCCTTCCAATCGAAAAAATAGACGGAACCGACGCAGATTTAGGGCAAAAGAAAAAGGTGCAAAAGTATCCGGATTGAATTTCTGGAAGACAGACATGCAGTTACCACCAGCTTTCTTTGAATTTATGCTACAAGGAATGGGTTTTCATGGGATCCCCCTAGAAGGTTTACAGGTAAAAAAAAATAATCTATATATTTTTGGCCATATTTTAAAACTTTAGAACAAATCATAGGGGAGTTTTGATAAGAATAAAATTCTTAAATATTTAGTTTAGTCAATTTTACGTGTTTCTATTTCAAACATCCAAGGAAATATTGATTTTTAGTATCGGATTTATTTGTAAGAAAAAAAAATAGACATCGATTTCTTATTAGTAGTTCAGAAGTTTTTTCTAATTTCTTAAAGGCATTTTTTCACATCTATGTTTCAACCTCTCATATAAGAAGATCTCAAATACTTTTTTTGTTTTTTTTTTCCAGAAAATGTGATTTCCATAACAGTTTACGCGTCACACTATTTGAAATCCAGAAATCCATTAGAATTCTGATTTGAAACCGACAGCAGACACATCTCATTTCAAGGACAATGTATTTTTCATCAAGGATAATTTGATTCTTAAATACATTTGCATCGTAGAAACACCTGTAAATTATTAGAAAATAGAAATTAAACAAATTTATTCAAAAACAAGTTTGAATGCAATGGCGACTAAAGGACATGATACTTTGGTTGATGCCAAGGTCACCAATCGATTTGAAAATCAACGTTTTCACCCTTAATCACTGAAGTTGAATTAATATTAGGACGATGATCAGATATATGTGAGTACTTAAAAGTTATTGACAATTGGGTTACATGTCAAGAGTGATGTATTTCGGCACCAATAATGTGAAATATAACCCAGGTTGTGTAACATATTCTTTATCAATTGTGAGTATTTAACAAGTTTTAATGATGAATAATAGAATATTCTTTTGGCCTGCATAATAATTCACTGATTACACCTAAAACAAACAGCTCCATAAAATTCTTCAAGATTAACCCTTGCATCAAAAAATGGTCAAGAATTCACGTAATAATATCATTCATTTTTTAGTAATTTATTTTCTTCGACATGTACTGCAATTAGTGAAGTGCCAAAAATGATAATTTTATGTGCCAAAACAACGGATTTTTAGAGACAAAACTCTGAATAATAAACATATCCAAATTTCAAAGGAAAAAGAACGCATATCTATGACGTGCAATGTCAAATTAATTTTGCACTTTTGTAGTGACACTTTTTGATTAATTAATTTTAGTCATTCTTATTTGCACCTTTCTTTTTATTACCTGTACATCATGTTATATTTATTTATGAGCTTTCATGAAGTAGTTATCATGTAAATAGTTTTGCATTACTTTTTATGTTCTTGCAATAAAAAATAAATATATATACATATAATTTTTTGCACTTTTTAAAAGAAAATTGGTCAAATTCAGTACAATTTGATCTATACATATAGCAGAGATTATAGATTTATACCTAAGGAATAACTGTTTAATTTTTTTTGGTTTGATGATGTGATCAATCGAGTGGCTTGTGTTATAATTTGCATAAACGTCCAAGACGTTTATGCATAAAATTACCACACAAGCCAATCGATTGTTAATATATATATAATATATTCATTTCCTAACCACAATTATAAATACGAGAACAAACACAATTAGAAAGAGAGCTGCTGAGACCCCTCAAATAAATGTGTGTGTTTTCAGATGATCTGAAGCACCTACCTAATAATAATAAACCATTGTCAAAAAACATTGCACAAATTGGGATATATTGAATTCATTGATGAATAAATCCCTTTTCCATAATTTCAAAGAAATTATAATACAAAGTAACCTGAAATTGGTTAAACTAATCGAAAATTAAACGGAGATTACTTCTATTTGACGAAATTAGTTAAACGTTATTCCAGCTAGTATCTTTTGATTTGAGAGAAAAGGAGCTGCATCGTATCTATATAGAAAGGGCAAAGACGAACTACAAAAAAAAAAAATCATATTTCGATGTTTTCTCAATTTAATTTTAGTCGCTGTATAGTATCCTTAAGATTCATTGATTTTTGTTGTACTCACTTGCTAAAATTGATAGCTTTAGAATATAAATTTCAAGCAGTTTATTTAAGGAATGATGCATATTTTAACTTACATTATACCAAATAACATAACTTGAAAAAGTTCAAGCTTTTACTACAAGGGGTTAATAAAAAAGCATAAACTGCCCCAAGTTATGTTACATTATGCAATATAAAGTACATTATTTACCTGACCAAATGATGTTATACAAATAATATTAAATTCTAAAGTCTTAAAAAAATATGTTTGTTTCCTGTAACATTCCCCAAAAAATTAAGGGTCGGTAAGTCGGAAATCCTTTTTTTTTTTGCTTATGAGAGATCAAACATCCCCGGACTGAATATACCAGGTGTCATATTTATAGTGGACACCCAACATGGCATCCAAAATGGATGCCTAGCGGCAGAAAGCGAACTTCAGAAAGTTGTAGGGGGAAATTGTTGTTACAATTATGATTACTCTTTATATTTAAGGTATATCTAAAGTAGGCTGACATATTTTATGTCTCAAGTTAAGCTACAAGCTAATTCTTTTTCTAAATGAATGGAATCAGCTGATAACGCACTTTTGCCATTTGTCAGAAAAAATCCATCCGGGGATAATTTGAATGGGTAGGTCGGGTTACAGGAAACAAACACATTTTTAGGCCTAATCAATTAGACTCGCCGATGTACATTCTCCTGTCGTGACGTCACATGTTCTATTGAAGAAGTCATCACTGCATGTTGTATTATATGTATAACCATCGACCCCCCAAAAAGAATCTAAAAACAAATGTAATACTTCTATATATTTTTTAATATCATTGAAAATGATGAATGTTGGAATAAATACCAGATGGTTAATAAAAGTTTCACCGGGTAATAGCTAAATCTTGTAAGCTAGCCACAGCTTGTTTTTTGTGTAATTTGTGTTTTTAAAAAAGAGATCATTTTTTTCTTATTTTTTGCTTTGTCCCTACATATATCACATCGAACGATACAAAAGGAAAATGTCTTGTATTTATTAGACAAATATCTGGCGTTGCACAAAAGCATTTGCATTTTTTAAGACATTTTTATTTGTTACGTCAGCATGTTGATTTGTAATGCTACATGTTTTTTATCTTTTTAGCCGCTGTATACAGCCAGAGGTAAATAGATTGATATTATAAAAAAAAACATCAGAATGCACGAAAATGTTTTTTTTTTTATCGTTTTTAAAGTTTTTTATATATACTTACTGAATTTAATCTCATGTCATTGTTTCATCTTTTATTTTACACTAAAGACTGTGCAGTATGAAAATAATGGTAATGATAAATCATGCCATATTTAAATCCGGATGTAAATATATGTTGGTTAAGCGATTAAATTCTAGATTTGATCACAAGTCAACCCTTATTAACATCCAGATAAAAGTTTTAAAATAATAAATTATTTTATTTTACATATATAAGCATTTGTGGCTGCTCTAAAACAAAAAAAATGCTTTAATTTCATTCCAGGAAATGATTTCTTTCAACTGTCAACGGTACAATTTAATGTGCTGGACACACCGACATCTTATGGTGTCAATCTGAAATGACTGTTCACGACTTAACAATTAGTGTATATTTACATTGGAATCTGCTTTACACTATTGTGAAATATTTTATTCAAATAGATTCACTTATAAATGTAAATATTAAGCAAAAAAAGATACAGTGAACTGGTCCAATATTTTCCTGCTTGCAACATAACAGACGGTTAACAACTGTCAAAGATGTATTTCTTAATGGCTTCCATAAAGGGATAAAAACTGAGTTATTCTGCATCCTTTCATTGGGCGTGTGAAAAATTCTTTAACAAATATACAATGAAATATTTTCATTTTTTTAAAGAGTACTGCGCAGCAATATATTCAAGACGTGGTGTGAATCAGATGTGGATACACAAAAATTAGTAAAAGAGTAAAAGAACTTTGTTGTTATATGCCATTATGTGCATAATGTATCAACAAAATCCTAAATAAAATGAGAAAAATTTGGCTTTTATTAAGAGACAATCATATGCCCTTTGGAGGCTGTAAATTCAGATATATATTCAGGGATCTGATGAGTGAGGGATCATTCTCAAACAGCAATATCGTTAGATGTAAAACAAAGACGATTAATCAGTCGATTAATGCTCGTGCTAAAATAGGAAACTGAGTCCCATTTTCAAAAGAAACGATGATCCCCTGCTCTAAGTGCAATCGTACTTATTGATGTTTACACAAGTTGATGAATCATGAATATCAACAGTCTCGTTTAACGTCATCATTTCGTACGTTCTATGGTCGATACGATAACTTTGTAAGCAAATACAATATATCATTGAGTCAAATGCTGAGCAGCGTTTTTCATATTAATTGTTAGTGCATTAACATTATCTATACACTGAATTAAAAATTGACGGCGGATTTATCCGTTATTTCCCTATCATGATAAAGAGCACAGGGCGAATGTTACCGTTTGAGATGGAATGATCACTCCTCCTTGGCACGTGATCCCACTCCTGGTGCTTTGGAGTTCCGTATTTGTTCTGTCCCTATTTTGTTTTGTTTTATGGACTTTTGATCTTGAACACTGTTTGCTATGCATGGCTATACATTTCATGCATTTAAGGAGTTTCCACCCTCACTATTTTATAGGTTCAAAGTACAAAAACTGCATTTATTTTCATTTAGTATACTTTAAACTTTCCATTTATTGCAAAAAATGTAAAGGTCACCATATTATTTAAGACGCGAAGCATAAATATACAGAAGTGTATGTCAACATAAAAAATTGTCCATTTTTTGTAAACAGTATTGAGAAAAATATGTAAAAACTGGTGAAAATGCATAATTCTGATGCTGAGTGTTCCTAAATACTTCCTACTTAAAAGATACATTTGAAATGTAATATCAGGGAAACTATTTTACAGTAAAGCAAATGCCTGAATGAAGAGACCTAAAAAGGAGTTATTGCCCTTGTTAACATTTTTAAAGATTAAATAATTGATTAAATATAGAAAATATGCATTTTTAAAATTCTTTAACTAAACAATATTTATCATTACACCTATTGTAAAGCATTCTTCCAAGGGATATTTTTCTATAAGGTATGAAATTAAACTAAATACAGTTTTTGCAAAAACCTATGACATCATAGGAGGGTGGAATTACCGTAATAGAATTCAGTCGCATGTCAATATAATTCTGTTGATTCTGCCTCATTCTGAAGAATTGGCGTTCTTACAATTTCAAACATAAAAATTAATATTAATATTCTATGATAAGATTGAAATAATTTTGTGTCTGGAGGAAACTTCATAATTATGTTTATTTCGTTTACATTATTTCTCTAACGAGTATTCGTAGGAATGTGCCATAAACGTAGCGATTACCTTTTTGTCAAACATTAAATCTGTATTTACATGTACATAAAAACTACGTGTACATATTTTAAAGTCACTTGTAGCTAAAGTTTTTTTGTTAATAAAATTTGTCTTGCTCTTACAACAAGTGGACCCATCCATAAATTCTGCATCAAAAGATACATGATTGCAATGTCCATTGCGACATCTTAGATCACAGAATATGCACGTCTTGCTGTTATTAAGTAATGGGCAACCTGAACAGGACTAATTAATCAAAAGACAATGATAATGCATATACACATGTAGTTTTTTTTTTTGCTTGTTAATGGTATTTAAATAATACAAGAATATATGATAATTTATTTGTAAAAGAAAATGCATTTTGCCTTTAAGTAGAAATTATATGAAAAACTTTGTTTATACAAGTGCTTATGAAGATAAAAAGAAATATCTGGAAATTTGTTATTCATTGGGCAGAGTTAAATCTATCACTTTTAATTCACATACTTCAATCGTTGCAAAGGTTGGTTCATGAATCTCACAAACTGTGGTTACTTGAGGATCCTTCGTGTTTTACAAAGCTATTCCATGGGTCATGTGATAATATTCATCACCTGCTCCGGACAAGTAATTGTCCATACTTTAATTGTCGATTTTTGGGTAAATACTTGAATCACAGAGCGTGAAGGAGGTATACGCAATGAATCATTGAATTAGTACACAGAAAGAATCCAGTATGCCGATTCACTGCTGAAATGATAGAAAAATTGAATTCATCTTTTCCTGTTTCACATTATATTCCTAAATTAAATCCAATTCACTATTAATTATATTTCGAAAAAAAAAGTTTATTACATGAAAGTAAGAAAATTACAAGGTCTCAAAGAACTGGTTTCAATCGACATTAAAGAACTCAAGTTTACATAC